ACCTGCACATATCGGAGAAGAAATTCAAAGATATGTTTGAAGTCAACCAACCCGCACTTGGCCAGCGTGGTTGACTAGTCACCCATAACTTAGGGTAGGCTCCGAGCCTCTCGGTGGGGACGTATAGTAAGCTAATGATGAAGATGCTAATTGAGAATAAATATTAGAAGCATAATAAAACATCCATATGAAGATAAAAAAAAAGATTCGTATCAATAACTTCACACTGGCATAAAATAAATATCATTAACCGTTAAACATTTTACAACAAACGAAAGCGAACCGTTCAATTTTCAAATATCGAAATAGAGACGTTCCAATTTCAAAAGCGTTCATTGAAATGCAGACCATAGAGTGAGAATGTTTAGCGAACTGTCATCGGGAACAATACGTCACAATTTTGGGGCTGCGTTCAAAACATGCGTGTCCGATATCAATTGATTTTTTCAGATGCATTCGAGTTACGAAAACAAACAAGACATGGCTACTGTTTATTTAAAGTTGCTCAGAAAAAATACAAACTAACTTTTAGGATTATTTTCAATACAATACTCTTCAAGGCTGAACTTTATATTACAAGATAACTTATTGTACATAAATATTTCTAATAAAACCTTTAGCCAAATAAAGACTAGAAATGTAAAGAAAAAAAACTCTTGACAACAAACGACTATCAAGGTCATATGCAAAACTGTAAAAAAAAAACAAATCTTACTAATCGTCTAATTGCTAATGTTTTGATGGATGTTTGTTAGAAAGTATCTACAGAGCTACATAGATCTTGCTGCAATTTGACATAGATGTAGAACATAGTCTGGAAGAACACATAGGCTACCTAATTAAGTTTTTAATTCCGCGCGGACGTTGCGACAGTTAATATATATAAGCTATTATTTATTACATATGTACAAACGCAAGTATATTATGAGCTACAAAAGAATTAATTTCAGGCGTGATAATTGTCAACTAGGGGTGTGCTATTGTGACAAATTTCTCGCATCGAGGGACACCATTAAAGTTTCTATGGCGGGTAATTTTTTTTTTCAACAGAAATTTCCGAGTATCCATTTGTGGTTGGAACCGCAAAGCTTGTCGGCACCTTTTGTCAACCGCTATTGTTATGGAACGACGAATGAACGAAAATTGTACCAAAATTAGATGTATAGAGTATTAGCAATCGCCTGCGACTCTGTCCGGAATTAAAAGAAAACTTAGTAGTCTATGTGTTCTTCCAGACTATGTTCTACGTGTATGCCAAATTTCAGCAAGATCCATGCAGCCGTTCTGAAGATATCTACTAACATCCATCCGTCAATCTTTCAAAACATTTGCATTTATAATATTAGTAAGAAGATTGTAATTTTAATGATATAATATACACTTAATGCCGTACTCAGAGACGTTAAGCAGTCTCCATCAATAATCATTAGAGCTATGGATTATAATAGTTACATTTCTAACCTACCAATCTTACTAATATTATAAATGCGTATGTTTAGATGGATGTTTGTTAGAACATATGTCCAGAACGGCTGCATGAATCTAACTAAAATTTGGCATAGATATAGAACATAGTCTGGAAGAACACATAGGCTACTTATTAAGTTTTTTTTTAATTCCGCGCGGACGAAGACGGCAACACCTAGGTTCTTATAAAAGAAATAAAAATCTTATGTTATACTTTTTAAAATTTCTGTTACAATATTGTTTACGTTCTTTTTTTAAATCTACGATTTTATTTCAACCTCTAGTTGTTCCTTTTTTTTAACAAAATATCAGTAGAAATAAATCGATGTATCATTTTGTATACCGTTTAGTGACGGCCTTCAATACTGCCAACTGCGCAAACATAGAAAGGGCGCGAAATGTTTGCTCTCCACAATATGGCGGCTGTTTACATTTGTATTATTTATGGGCGTTTGCGAACACGTACAAATAGATTTCTCGCGTTATTAACACCACGTGTATAGGGGATGGATATAAATAATTTTAACATTTAAAATGACTGCAAAAGAGCCATCAAAAAGAGAAAAGTTGCGTAGACAAATATTAATTATTTTTTCCATGTTTTCTTATACCTGTATCTAAAAAAGGAAGTGTTATAAAATTACAGTTTGTTTTCTTTAAATTAAAAAAAAAAACATTTTTAAAAAGCAGCTAATGCGGTTATTAAAAATCGTAATTAGTAACCTTTGTGTTCTTCCAGACTATGTTCTACATCTATGCCGAATTTCAGCGAGATTTATTCAGCCTCTTATATGAGAAAAAGAATACGACTGTGTTCAGGGTTTTCGCGGAAAATATTTGAGTTTTTCTCACCTTTTAAACCTTCCCTAGACCTCCTCGAACATTTTAATAATAAGAAAAGATAGTTCCGTTCAGCCGTTCTCGAGTTTTAGCGAGACTAACGAATAGCAATTGATTTTTATATATACACATAGATAGATAAGCATTTGCCCGCGACTTTATCTGCGCGTAATTAGAAAAACTTAATAAGTAGCCTATATGTTCTTCCAGACTATGTTCTACAACTATGCCAAATTTCATCGAGATCCATGCAGCTGTTCTGGAGTTACCTTCTAACAAACATCCATACAAACATTCATCTTTATAATATTAGTAAATTGTAGGTATATAATAAACTAGTCCAACCTCGTAAACGTACACGAAAATGTAACAGGCAATTTGAATGTAACACGCTAATAAAAAAAATATCTCAACATCTACCTCTATGTAAACTCCTTAAAGGAAGCAATGATGCGGACACACCGCGTAAGAAAAACCCAAGTGTGGCTGTACTACAATTGAACACCTTCCAAGGAGTTGCCGCTAAAACTTCGCTCGAGCGAAAATCCTTGCAAAAAAAAACCTACTTACATTCCAAATTAGTCTTTACACTTTGGTGTTAAAGTTGAAATTCATTTGACTTTTTTATTTAGTTTTTTATTTAAATAGCATTGGAAATTAAACTTTATTGCTTATGAGTACAGTTTAAAATTGTATATCTAAGTTCGATATCTGTGCGGTTTAGGGATAATCTGTGGACTGAATCAAGGTGGGCTAAAGAATAGGAAAGTTTCTTAGAAACGATATCTATTAGGAAATTTATGAAAGTGACAATATAAAAAAAAAATTACTTTCACTGTAAACAAATAGAAGATTTTTTTCATTGTGTAAAGGATGCGAGGTCCGACTCACCTAAACGGGCAAGTGTCAAGTAGAAGCTATTCCATGTTTTGATGAGTGTGGTACTGGATGCCAAATTTTAGTTTCCCTTCTCACCCTTTTCTCATAAGGCTAAGAAGTGGATTTGACAGAGGAAGGGGACACATTGAAAGTAGAAATCTTCTCTTTCTGTTCGTCCTCTCCTCCGTCGATTAAAGATAGGCAACGATTCTGCATTTGCGGGTTATGGCCAGCGGTTGCTTCGCTATTTTGACGAATTTAAATGGCCGCTAGCTCGTTGGCGTTTTTTTACATCCAGTATTTTTGTATAATTTTTATTTATGTTAACGAAGTTTATATCATCATCAGCTTACTGCACGTCCCCATCGAGCGGCTCGGTGCCTTCCCTAAGTTAAGGGTTTACATAATTGTGTTTTTAGTGTATTAGGTGTGTTCAATGTAATCTTACTAATATTATAAATGCAAAAGTTTATATGGATGTAGAAGGTATAATATTATCTCTAGAACAGCTCAACGGATCTTGATGAAATTTGTCATAGATGTAGAACATAGTCTGGAAGAACATACACTACTTACGATAGTTATATTATTTTTGAAAAAAAAAGTTATTCACCAAGTTACGTATCATGCCTTCGTAATAGTAAAATTGAAATATACCAACACAAAGCACGCGATTTCAATTTGCCAAAAGGAATCTCAGGTAACAGACGCAAAAAAAAAAATAAACGTGACAAAATGTCTGTAAACATGTACCTACATATTACCTTTGCGAATACAAAAGAAAGAAAAAACTAAGGTAAAAACACGTGTTAAGGTCCCGTAGAAATATAAATGTTTTTAATCGACTTCAAAAAGGAGAAGATTCACAATTCGTCTGTATTGAAGAAACCCTTGACATAGACCAAACTTAATTTCTTCTTATCTTACTAATATTATAAATGCGAATGTTTAGATGGATAGATGGATGATTGTAGATATCTTCAGAACGGCTACATGAATGTCGCTGATATTTATCACAGATGTAGAACATAACCTGGAAGAGCACCTATGCTATTATTACGTTTTTTAATTCGTCGCGGATGACAGTTATATATAATATTACATAACCATAAGAACGTCAGTACATATGAAATTCGAAAATTGAAGAGCACATTGGTATATAAATAGATAAAGTGCATTCGCCCCGAAGCGATTCCATAACAAACTTTAGAACTGCATAGAACTGATAATAACTTTGGATAAGTCACGTGAATGTCGCGCGTTAATTCCATACATTTTTGAAGTTCGCTTTGAGACGAAGTCACTTTGTCTAACCCCGCTGTACCTGTATACAGAACCCTAAATGTTTCAATTCTATATTCAAACTTGTAGGATACGTGACGAATTCGCGCCCATTCAAATAAATCACGAGGCGTTCCCGCGCTTTTGACTCCCATTGTGTTGCCATAGCGCACAAAATCTCCCAATAACACGCCAATTGTGCACCAAAAAGGTGAATTACGCAAAAAAAATATAATTGACAGTATTTGTAATTATAATTGACGTATATCTAATTGATGGATAAATTGCTTTATGAAGCGAAACTTGTTTAATTTCAATTTGATATTTTTTATATAAATTTTTTTCTTGTCTACTGAATTTGAAATCACAAATAGTATACAACGTGTTTTTATCTCACTAGATAGTTGAGTTAGTTGTGTTGAATTTTCTTAGTATAAGTTAATAATAAATTTTGGTGTACAAACGACTAGCTACCTAAAAAGAACAGGTAAACTAATTCTTTAAAGGATTAACGAAAACCTCTTTTGTTTCAGATAACAAAATGTCACCCCAGCTGCCGATTACAGATTAAAAAAGACAAACCAACAGCCAAAATGTCAATACACACGCGGAAGAGGCAAACGCGGTGACTACCTTTGTCTTTCGGATAAAAAAAAAAACAAAAAGCAATATGGCGCTGTTGACAAACTCAGCTTCGGCCACGGGCCCGACGGCGACTGGGCCGGCGGCACCACAGGCTCACCATTCAACAACGCCTTTGCATCATTACTTCCATTATCTAAAGCAGCCTTCGCCTTTAGCCCAGAATCCGTACGCCCATCATTCGAGTGCCCACCACATGGGCATGGGACCAGGGCCGTTGGGTGGATTGGGACCTTTCGGGTTGACGCATCACGGATTGGAAGCAGTTGGATTTCCCCAAGGTTAGTGTTTTTTTTTATTTTTTAAATAAGTATCGGTCTTTAAAGACCTTATAATGTAACCATAACACACTAGACAGGCAGAAAAATTAAAAACAGAACAAAATATTATATCTGCTCAAAGTTGTGGACGCCATTATTTTGTGTACTTGTAGTCCACACCACACGCCTACTTAGTATCAAGTTAAGTTTTAATAGATTTGACTATTAATTATTTATTTATTATAACTTTATTCATCATATTCTTAATATAGTACATTTCATATATAAAATAAATTACCATACAAAACATATCATATTAAATTTATTTATTAAAAACAGAGCACCACCGGCTGCGGAATCCCATGACTCAAACAATTTACTTATTAAATTAATTATTACAAAATCACTTAAAGGAACAAACGGCTTATAAATAATTTCTTATCTTAAATCATAACAGACGATAATAAAGAAAAATAATAATCCCCCAAATTTTAAGGAAATTGAAAATATCTCCACAGGTAACATTCGGTTCCGTTGACCGAGTTCATGAGGAAATTATTTTCAGTAGATATTCTGAATTCTCATTAAAACGACCGCCCTGAAGACGCAACTTGAAATTCAACTTGGCCTTCGTATTTTCATTTTACGATTTCCTTTTCCTACCAGTATTACCATATACAAAATAATTTCCTGTTTAACTGACTTATTCTGTAATTTTTCTAGTTTTAAATTAATACAAATGTTTGTTGAAAGAATACATACAGTTTTGATACTATGTTTTTTCAAGACATCTTTTCATATTTTAAAGTTGCATTTTAAAGATCAAAAAGATTCAACATTTAGCTATAGAGATGACATAAGGCCATCCTGCAGACTGTTTTTTTAATGACATTTTTGCCTAAATTGACAAGTGTGATAGAACCAGCAGAATGGCTTAGTTCACTTTAGCCACCGTATTTATATTTTTCAAATTTCTGCTTCAGCTAGATAGATTTTACTTGCTAAAACTACTAGTTAACTTAACTATGGGTTTCTAAGAGCAAAATCATTCAAAACATACTATTATCTCTGTTTTATCAAAAATGAAAGACAGAGATGACAATACATTTTATACAGAGATTTTGTCAGAAACCCACGTTAAAAATACGCAAAATATTAGTTAATCGTGTTTTATACGCAAGCTATATTGATATCAAATTTCAATGACATTTATTATTCAAGAAAATACATAAAACTCTCGGAACATAACATTTCCAATCTAAATTATATATTTACGAGCAAGTTCTAAGGCACAACGGAGAGAATAGGAGCGATGCATAATTTACGTCGCAAGAAGACATCCTTCGAAATAATCAAAACAGGCCGCGCGTCCCCCTTATAAGCGGCTTATCCCCACCTCTCGGCCCCAATGTTGCCACTACCCCGGTACTCCCGAAATGCGGGGAAACGGAAGTCGCTTGTTAGTTGCTTTAATTAGTGTCTGGTTGGAATTTTGATGTTGTAACATTTGTACTATTGTAAATACGAATTTATTTTTAATTTATTTGTAAATTTTATGTGATATAAAAAATCTAGATAAGCACAAAAATTTTGAAAGTAATCTTTCCTATGGATAGTTAAAAAATAATTTTAAACATAACAGTCCACTGTCGTAACCATTCTGAAAAGCATCCTCAGCTCACTATAAGTCCCCACCCAGGGGTTCGCAGCCTACCCTAAGTTAGGGGTGATTAGGCCATAGTCAATGCTGCCCAAGTTCGGGTTCACTTCAGATATATCTATGAATTTCTTCGCAGATATGTGCAGCATCACGATGTTGTCCTTCATCGTTAGAACGTCGGATAAATGTACATTATGTAAATCGAAAATCAAATTCGAACCCAGGACCTGCAGATTACAAATCAAGTGCTTTAACCCTTGAGCCACCGACGCTCCTAAAATTGATATCCACAATCAACAGAAAAAAACACAGATTATTAATTAAATTATAACTATTAATAATACAGAAATGTTTTCTTAAGATGTAAAAACAAAATACATCTTTCTCGTCCTATCACGGTCACCCTCGAGGCAAGTAAAAAAGCGACCAGTTAAAAAGGGTAACTTTGTGGGTTGTACACAAATCCGTGGGCTCTCAAAGGGGAACTGAAGAGTAAAGATTAGGCCTCCCCCGTTTCTTAGACCCTTCGGAAGTCTATGAAAACCTTCATCTTGACTATAGATTGAATATTGAAAATAATGTTTCTATGAAGTCTTTTTTAAAAACATCAAAGTTAGTACCTTGTTAAATAGATCTATAAAATAACTAGCTGTCGCCCGCAACTCCGTCCGCACTTATTTAAAATACTTAATTATAAGCCTATAGTGTTCTTCCAGACTATGTTCAGTTATACTAAATTTCATCAAGATCCGTTCAACCGTTCCGGAGATAGCTTCTAACAAAAATCCATCTATTCAAACCGTGTCATTCACGTATGACTATCAGGAATATTTGTTACGTAATGTACACCAAGAATCTTATACTAATTTTGACATAATTGGCAATGACGATACGAAGGCATATCTCGCAAATATTCGTACTAGACGCACTGATATATCTCGCTTCCTTACACGTGAAACGAAAGAGAAAGGGCTATACTCATTCATGAAAATGCACACATGGTGAGACATGAAAAAGGATGTATCATCATTTTAAAACACAGCAGAATAATAAAAAAAACACCCGGACTTTAATCCTCAAAGGGGTTGCGTGAAAAAAGTTGGCAATTTTTTTTGCATCCTTCAGGTAGCCAGTTACTTTTAAAAAGAAAAAGAAGTTTCACCAAAAAGTATATAATATGGCATAATATAAATATATTTTTAATGATATGTAAAAAATAGATTTAGATTTACCAAAACTAGCAAATGTACAAACTTTTTTAATTTTAGTTTTAAAGTTTAAAGCAACGCAATCCTCTATGGTGAGTTTCAATAAACTCGTTTTTAATCTGTATCCGGCTGATTGATTTCATATAAACCTCGCTACCGGTCTTCGGAAAACCAACATTCTTGTAAACTCTCTAGTATTAATAAAACTCTTGTAAATCAGTAAACAAAATTAACGGCTCGCGACCTATTAGATTTAATGCCCAATACACATTTAATGCGGGAATAAAATTAATCCTCTACCGAGTTCCCTTTAATCCGTATACATCTCTCTTTCACTCTAGATTCACCCCGAATAGCGTTGTCCCCTTCGCACAATAGACGCTATGCGGCGTAACGCTGGCAGCTGGGCGTTCTTTTTTTGAAATTTATTTTTTTCATTGTATATTTCCTTTTTAGTGGCGTCCCTTAGAATTTTATACGGCCAGTAGCTTTTTTAATCTTTTTCGCGGTATAATTAATTGATCATTTTTTTTGTGATCCCCATTTTCATTTTTGTCGTAATCAGAATTAGAAAGTTGGAATTCTGAAAGAAAATAAAATTTCAATTATCTCAATGTTTTATAAGTAATTGAGAAAACACTTTTCAAATAGATTTCGAAAGAGAGTGGAATTCTTGGAAATTAATTGTTTTACCTCTATTCTATAAAAATTCCCACAAAATTATTATCTGAATTTACTTTCTTACGCATACCTTTATATACAAAATCCATCCATACTTTCTTCTCTTTCCCTCTACCTTTGTAGCTGTACTTTTGTATTCAGTCACACACACTTTTTTTGCCTCTCTCACTGGCGCTTTCAGATTTCAAATAAATATCAACATCGCGTTCATCAAAACACGGCCCTTGTTAAGGGCCACACATTTGATATCACAGTGTTAGGTTACAAAATCAATATATGGGTCATTGTGTCAAACGGAAACAGAAACCTTACGAGTATAGTAAGTTGATTGCCCTTACAATACGTGTGGTGTGCATCGGTACGTTTAATGATAAAAAAAAATAAAAAAAAAAACAAAAAGAAAACATAAGATTTTTTTTAATTTCATTTTAAGGTAGAAAGAAATAATAAAAGTATGAGTTTTAACCTATTTCAGTACTAACTAAACATCGAGTTGAAAACATTTTTTTTTTTTTGAAAAATCTGATATCACATGTTTTTTTGTTATAGTGTGAACTCGCCTTAATAAATGATATGTCTCAAAGAACTTTTTTATTTTTTTTTGTCTTAACATAACAAAGTTTCAATTGCTTAAGTTATTTAAACTATTTCGACATTGGAATATTGTGGTATTTAAAATTCTCTGTGGACTATTTTAGACCCGATACTTGTTTTTGCACAGTCTGATTGTACAGTTCAAACTTGTTGCTGAACTAAGAACTTTACAGTTTAATTAAAGTTTATAATGTTGACAACACACGTTCGATTTCATCATCATCAGCTATATGTCCCTACCGAGGGGCTCGGAGTCAACACTAAGTTAGGGGTGACTAGACCATAGTCAACCACGCTGACACAGTGCGGGTTGACTTAACACATATCTTTGAATTCCTTCTCAGATATGTGCAGGCATCACGATGTTTTCCTTCACCGTAAGACGGTCGGATAAAAGGACCTGGAGATTCCAAGTCAAGTGCTTGAGCACTGACGCTTCTGACGCTCCTGTTCGATGTTTGATTTAATTTGACAGTATTAGTTCAGAAGGTGTGTAGTTGGCTTTAGAATCCTTTGAAAAACAATAAAGAAACAAATTAGTTGCTCGATAAATGTTTCTTTTAAATTACTTTGCCGAAGTTTAACATATTATGTTTTTTGTTTCATCGCAAAAGTTTTTGAGGGAATTCTTAACTTTTTCTTTAATTAGTTTTTCTTAAGAGTTATACCACCAGTTATATTTATATCAATGTCAAAATAATATTCATTTTATAATCTGTTTTTATAATAGTTCTTTAGTTATGTATCTACCAGCTGTTGCCCGCGACTCCGTCCGCGTCCGAATTATATGTGATATCACATCAAGTAACCTATGTATCTTCCAGACGTTAAGGAAAACATCGTGATGCTGCACATATCAGCGATGAAATTCAAAGATA